GGCCACAGATCGTCAAATCTGACAACACCACAACCGACCGGCACTTCTAATGGCATCTTAAACTGTGTCAATGGCGTGTATATTTTCTCTGACCCATACCCTCTAAAATACAAGAGCTAGACGCCAATATTGCAAGCCACCGATAAATGTAGCAGCGGCATCAGACGGGCGGGAGACGGGTTTCCATGGGCCGCCTGCCAAGCCCATCTGGCGCTGGGACCTACCAGTATGCCACACAAACCCTCCCCTTTCAGTGGTCCACACAGCCCAGTTGCATTGCTTCAGTGGGTGGAGTGCACTGGAAGATAGCCCTGAATACGCTGTGCCCAGTAAAACAGAGCCTGTCACACCGTCCACCAATCCTCACATCTCATATCAGCCGGGATCCCGGGTGGCCCCCCATCCTTTATCCCATTGGGTACCATCTTCTTCCCCCTTCTTCCTTACAGGACACATAGAGAGACGCCTCATTTCCAGTTTTAGGTACAGGCCAGGCAAGGCAGGAAGGAGCTGCTGCATCTGCAACCGCTACTGCTGAAAGAACGAAGCCCAGGCCCCCGTCACTTTTTCCCACCCGGATTTCTCCCAGCCTCACCACCACCAACCAACTCTACACTACACCATCCATCCTCCGTCTCTCTTCTCCGTCTCCGTCGCTCACCTCACCTCACGCCCAGAAATCGATCTAATTCGACAGCACATTAATTGGGAATTCGATAGACGAAACCGCTTCCCATCGCAATCATCTTCATACAACTTCCGTAGCCCATTTAATCTACAGCTTCAACTTCGCCTGGCTTTCGCTTCCCCTCGACTTTTCACCCCAGCGTGGTGTCCCTGCCCTGCCCATTGGTCGACCCGCCAAGCATCCCCCCGTGCGCCCAGCCAGCAAGGCCCTCGAACCAATTTCCCTCTCTCGTCTCTACCGCCCATTGTCCACCAGCAACGTTAATACTCATCCCAGAGTCAGTGAGAGCGAACCACTGCGACAAGAAGCCAAGTGACTCCAGAGCCCGACGACGTCTCGACGATATTATCACATCCACAACCCCCGATTTACGCTCGAAATAGCATCACTTCACCTAGTAGCATCTACCGCGTCAGCACTCGCTGGTCTTGGCCTCCAGCGAGCTCCTCACACTCCCGCTCGAAATGCCATCGTTTCTCTCCGACCAGGACAATTCCACAATCTTTAGCAATAACCCCGATATCCTCAACCTTGATCCTACGAACCAGTTCGGTTTCGTAAACAAGGATAGGGTGAATGGGGGTTCTATCCGCCACACCCGATCCGATACAATCAATGAGAGCTTTGACGAGAGCTCAATTTCCTCTACGCACGCGTCCGACGTCTCCGACTCAACACCGGCGCCTATGAATGGCAACAGTAACAGCACGCGGCCCACGAGCATGAGCTCCAATTCCAACGGCATGCCCGCTACAGCTACTCACATCCAACAAGACGATGTAAACGGAGTCGGCAAGTTTGGGCAGCAGCCCATGCCTAATGGCACAGAGAACCTAGTCGATCGTACACGCCAACACTCATCCGATACCAATGGCATCAATTCCAACACAGCCTCTACCGATAATCATCAACAAAACAACATACTATCAAAGCCCTTACCATCGGAACCCCAAACGTCAGAGGGAATCTCTGAGAAGCCCCCAAGCAGGAGCTTTGAAGGAAACCACACACTCTCACTCTCCCCATTCCCTGTAGAGCCGCGCGGTTCTCAGTCACAAACTGCTCTTCCGGTGAATAATAATACGAACACCGATGCGGCGCAGACGCTGCACCCTCGCACAAATGGTACACATCGATTGTCATCACCACCGATCTATAACCCGTCAAGCGCAGCAGCCTCGTCAACAGGACACTTACAAGCACCCCCTGGTCTCAAGCAACGACATACCCTCGATGTACCAAAGTACGTGCCTGGGCGCGGCTCAAAAGACGGAATGGATACAGCCCAAGCTAGTGGCCGCTTCTCCCCTACTAATGCTGGAAGTTCAAGTGGTCGACGACCCTCGTTGAGTATGGGCAGAAGGCCAACTCGATCAATGCAATCAGATGGACCACGGGATGAGATTGTACCAGATGAGGATGCTCTTCGCTGGGCAGAGGCATTGCGACAAAAGAGAGCTAGCAAGAGGAGGAGAAAGGAGGAGGAGGATGACGATCGCGTTCTTGTCGGCACCAAGGTTGACGAGAATCACGCCAACTGGGAGACGGCCTACAACATGCTTACAGGTATTCGTGTTTCGGTTTCGAGGACGAATGCCAAGCTCGACCGAGAGTTGACAGATGCCGATTTTGAGACTAAGCAGAAGTCGACATTTGACATCGCCGGTAATGAGCTGGTGCCGTCTGCCAAGTACGATTTCAAATTCAAGGACTACGCTCCCTGGGTCTTTCGTCGCCTCCGAGCTCTCTTCCGCTTAGACCCTGCAGATTATCTGATGTCGCTTACGGGCAAGTATATTCTTTCTGAGCTGGGATCGCCTGGCAAGAGCGGAAGTTTCTTTTACTTCTCACGGGATTACAAGTACATCATCAAGACCATCCACCATGCTGAACATAAGTTTCTCCGCAAGATTCTTAAGGAATACTACCAGCATGTTAAAGACAACCCCAATATGCTTCTTTCGCAGTTCTACGGCCTTCACCGAGTCAAGATGCCATATGGAAAGAAGATACACTTTGTTGTGATGAACAACCTCTTCCCCCCACACCGAGATATCCACACCACTTTCGATTTGAAGGGCTCTACCATTGGTCGAGACTATAGGGAAGAGGATTTGGAGAAAAATCCCAGGGCGACCCTGAAGGATCTCAACTGGCTGAGGCGACAGCGGAGCCTCGAGTTGGGTATCCAGAAGAAGCGCATGTTCCTTGAGCAACTGCAACGGGATGTTGCCCTCCTGAAGAGACTTAAGATCATGGACTACTCACTACTGGTTGGCATACATGATGTTTCTCGAGGGAATGAAGAGAACCTTCGTGACAAGACACTACAAGTTTTCAACCCTGGTGGTGAGAAGTCTCCCGACGACGAACCCAACTCGGTCCTCCTTCGCACACCATCCAAATTAGAAAACCAACGTAAGGCTAGGGAACTGAGACAGATGATTCGCCAGGAGCGACCAGTACCCATGGGCCAGTCAGCAAACAAGATGCCTGATGAGTTGCAAGAAGGCCAACATCGACCTGGATGGGTCTTTGGACAGGATGACGGCGGTTTCAGGGCAACCCATGAAGATAACACTCCAGGGGATGAAATTTACTATCTCGGAGTCATCGACTGTCTCACTCACGTAAGTATTGCACCAAGGCTGAACCCGACGACAACTGACATGATTTAGTATGGAATTATCAAAAAGATTGAGCACTTCTGGAAGGGCTTATCTAGTGACAAGACTCAAATCTCAGCACTACCACCTGACCAGTATGGTGACCGGTTCTACCATTTCATCGAAGGTGTCACCATGTCCACCGAAGAGGCTCACAGGGAGGCTGAACGGAGACACCAGGAAATGATTGAAGCTCAACGTTCAGAAAACAGGGTGTCAAGCTGGAATTCTCGCCGCAGGTCGTCTCAGGCCGTTCCACCGATGCCAACCCATGTACCACCTCCACCACCTGGCCCACGATCTCCGGAAGCTCAAGAAACGCTCGAACGGGCTAATAAGGAGGCCGAGCGCTCCGAGAGGCATGGACATACTGAGAACCAGGTTCCGGACCGAGTCTTGACTACCGGCACTTCTAGGGACAACCGCGATTCTTTGCAGCACGAGCCTATCTTGCCCGTGGTGCAGGAGGCAGGTGAAAATGGCCGCGATGACACAGAGGCCAAGCCCCCGAGATCCTCTAAAGACCTCAACAAGAGCCTACCTCCGACGAGAGCACCACCTCCAACTCCTCCCAAGTCAGGATATGCCGGACCCGGAAGCGCAGACAGTGGGTATGCAGGTCTCAGCAACGGCACAGGTCCCGTCAATCAAGGACAGAGAGTGAGCATTGACAGTCTCAATAAGGAGCTGCCGCCATTACCAAGGAAGGATGGGACAGACGATAATGGAGTACGACTGGTAGCTTAGGTTGCGACCAAGGTCAAACCAAGGAATCACTTCCAGGTTTGTCAAGGAGGACAAAGATGGATTCACGATTAAGAAAGCGAACGACGCAGATACATACACAAGGTTGACGAGCGACGGAACCATCGCCAACCACCAATGATGCATTAGAAAAGCGAGACACCTGGCGACACCCCCTTATCCATATTCTTATCACATTTTTATGCTGGACCATTCCTTGACCAGCCGTGCACTATTTCCTTATTGTTATTCTGTCAATCGACGTCTTTGGCATACTGGACTCGGCCTCGGCCTATGAAAGCAAGTTTCTATTTCAGTCACATTTTCCTTTGTCAGCGACGAAGCAGGGAAGCACTCGGAAACGTGGTGGGCGAGCCGTATCGCCAGGTTCAAGGGCGGTCGGTGTCTCTGGAGCGAGTGCAGATATGGTTCCTTTTATCAAAAAAGAAGAAGACATGGATGATACCACCACGCTTAGCACGCTACAGTCTGTTTTTTTTTATTCACTTTTCTTCTGGTCGTTAATCAACTCTTTGTTGAGTGACCTCCTTTTCATATGATACTTCGTTTTTGTCATATACTTATTGTCCTCTCTTGGTTTTTCATCAGATGGCAGGGCTTGCACAGGCAGCGGCTTAGGTAGTAGGAATAGATAGATTTGGTAGGATAAAGACTCGAGTTAGCCCGTTGGGAGGAATGGGAGTGGTGTGGTGTGATGTGAAGGTGGTACAGTGAGTGCAATTGCGGGTGTGATTGTAACTTTTGGGGTGTGAGGTGGTGATATTGTGGTAGTTTACAGTGATATAATACAAATATGTAAAACAAGTAATGGCCTCTTGTGAAGTCTTTTCCGTGTCCGTCCGTTGTCCCATTCATCTATCATCTTATTCCTCCAACTCCTTTTACTTCTTTTGGTCCAGCATGGCCTGAATATCGCCTACGCCCTTGCCCTTCTCCCCAGCACCACCCTCTGGCGCAAAGCTCGTCGTAACCGTCATCTCCTGTGCTCCCTGTGCTCTCAACTCATCCAGGCGTCGCTTCTTCTGAATGTCGGCAACCCTCCACTGCTTGAAGTATTTGACCCAAGCAGCTGCACAATCCCTCTCAAAATCCGCCGTCTCGACTGGGCAAGCCTTCTTTGTCGCTGATGGATCCTTGGTGGCGTCGACGATGTTGTGGGCGTCTAGACAGTTGAAGTAGGCATCGCGGGCGGCCCAGCAGATCTTGCGCTCTTGACGGTTTGGTATCGCGTCACCGGAGCGAATGGCGTCAGCGCGGGATTCACTTGAGAAAGGCCAGAAACCCATTGCGTATTTGGTAATTTTTGTGGTTTTTATGCAAGAGAGTTAATTGGTGAAGGCGATGAGGGCGTGCAAAATCTCATGAGCCGTGTATCTCGAAAGCTGAGGGAGGGTACACTATGACGAGCAGAACCGGCAGAAAAAGAGGGCGGTGAGATCGTAAGTGGTTTAGTGGATGGAGCACAAGCCACGTTTCATGGTAGCTAGGTACCTCATGCTCTGCTTTGTGTGGCTGATGCACTTTAATCTGTCCTTTGATTGTCCTTTACATACTTACTTCCCTTGCGTTGAGCAACTCGACTTATTCCCTGCATTCAACTTTCTTCTCTCCTTTACTTCTTCTTTGTATACGCTGATTCTCAGCTCCTGTTGAGTCCTGCTTTCAATAACCAAGCTTCAAGAGACGAGCAAAAGCTAGGAATACAAGGTTCATGCGCTAAAGCCGAAAGCTCAAAGAAGACATCACAAGACCTCACGAGACATGCCCCTTCGATGACCGACGACGACTCCTGCACCCTCTACACTTGGCCTCCTACAACAACTTGACACAACAAACAAAAGATGCCGCGACGTCGTAAGCCTCCGCGCGCAGGCGCCCTTGCGGAACTTGCGCCCCTAAAAATCGCAGGCCAGATCGCGACGCTACAGGCGATATACTACTTCGCTGCACTGGTCCTGATCGTCTTTACGGCGCTTGTCTCTGGCTCTGGGTTTAGCTGGACGCTTGTGTTTGGATGGGAGGGACTGAGAGGAGATACCACGCATGGATGGCTCATGGCATTTGTGTTATTGTTGGATGGCGGGTTGATTATGTGAGTTCAACTGCTCGAAGCACGCGCAGAAGCTCCCCTTGTTCGAGTACCGTTCGTTACTAACACTTCATAGTCCTATCGCAATAGTCGCCCTCATCGCTCGCTCCAAACTCGTACCCGATTTCGCATTGACCGTCCACTTTCTCAACCTCGTCATCGCATCCCTTTACAGCGGCCACATCCCCCGCCACGGAGCCTGGTGGTTCACCATGCTTGTCTCATCCGGGCTATGTATCGGTCTCGGGGCTTGGGGCTGTCAGTATCGCGAGCTACAGCCTGTCTTCTTCGGCGGACGTCCCATTCTCCCAGCTACGGGCGCTGAAGGCGCCACGCCGCAACCTCCTCCTGTTGATGAGGAGATGGGTATTGCTGTGAGAGGAAGGGGGCCAGATGGTGGAGGAGAGTATGAAATGGCGCCTATGCAGCCTGTAAGATGAAATTTGGGGTTGGGGCCCTTGGATATGGTTGAATAGACTTGCATTGCTAGGCGTTTGGGCGCTCTTTACTCCGTTTATGTATGTTGATTTGGGAGGGCTTTAATCAGGGGCCCGTTCAGACCGAGTGAGACGACTCGAGGATAGATCTGTCTGTCAAGAGACGAACTTCAGCATGACGACCAGATCTCATAAAGCTTCATAGATGCATGTGCCTACAATCGACACTTGTGGCTTATCGTGACATGCTTCAGTCCTTTGCTTGTCCATCAAGATTACAGTCAAAGAAAGAAACAGCAAGGGAAAAACGGAGAAGTGGCTTTGGTGCCTTGTTGAATCTATCTCAACCTCCATCTTCTGCAATCTCCAACCCCGTCGTGGCTCGTTGTAACCAAATCATTCCCCAAAGAGAATACACCTTTGTCTTATCTTACTTGTCTTTCTTTCTTTCTTCAGTAGAGTACAAAAACCAGCGCATCCCATCGATTACGCCCATTCCTTTTTCTTCGCCTCCAATTTCTTCTGTGGCCATCCATGGACGTTCTATGCACCCGCCACAACCGCCAAGTTATCGTATATCATCTTACGCACCTCGTAGAAAGTGCTTCTTCGTGCAGTCGGCATACCGACGCTCTCTACCTCGACGCGTCCTGCCGAGGTCTTGCGGACAGCCACGGTGCCGTCGACAACTAGTGTACCCTCGCCACGGAACTCAGCCGCATGGCCTGCAGATTGCATGGCACGGCGGAGGTCAGCAAGACGTAGATCGCCAACGTGCAGTGGCTGGGCTGCTGAGCGGACGGCGGAGATGAGGTTCGCCGGTAAGACGTCGAGAACTGGTGTGGCCGAGGGGATATCCGCGGCCATGTTGGTGAGTGTTGTTGATGAGGCTTCATCCGTCTTCTGGCGCTTGTTGGCAGCATCTTCATCTGCTGCGGCAGCTTCGTTGAGATGTGTGGCAAGGAGCTGCCCGGTAATAGTGACAATACCCAGACCACGCACATTCTGCCACTTCATCTTCCTGACAAGAGGATCAGCGAGCTTGACAACCCATGCGTTGGTGTCGACACTGGCATCGACGACAACTCCAACCTCGGGAGTATATACGTCAACGGAACGCTCACTGCCTGCATCCGCGTTGCCACTATCCCCGCCCAATGCTCGACGACAGTCTTCAGCCAGAGAAAGTGTCTCATCCCGTTCACCACCAACAAGAATGAGCTTTCGTGGTTGGATTAGGGGAATCAGCATGTTAAGACTCCGCTTATCATGCAGACCGCTAAAGTCAACGAATGCAATGCGCATGTTGGTCTGGACAGTTTCGGTCTGGTATGTGAGTTTGCATGGCCCCGTGGGCTCCTCGGTCTCGAGATCCTCGATACTATCGAGCTCATCAGGCACGAAACCATCATGGTCACCAGCTGCAGCCTCTTCTCCGTCGGCGGAACCAGGCCGCATGTTCTGTTGCCGCTTGAAACCGGCTCCAGCCTTTGCAAAGTCGTCCCATCTTCTCTTCTTGCCGAGCTTGTCATCAGCAGCCTCCATGCTGGTGTTGTCCTGTCCTTCTTCCTCTTTCTCCTCGGCACGGAGGTAATCTTCGGGTCGAATGAGCTCTCCAAAGTCGTCCTGGCGCTTCCTTCGGATAGCGATAGGGAACGTCCTCTCTCGGCCCTTCTTCCCTCTCGAGTCGAAATCGTATACGCCCTTCTTCTTGATGAGCACGTTGATACCGAGATCCTCGTCCTTGAGGACAACATTCTTCCGGCCAGCTTGGGCGATAGCAGTTGAGACGTTGAGTGCTTTGCCTTGTTGTTCTCCATCTTCATCTTCTGAGTCAGAAGAGGATTCAGATGAAGCATCGTCGACGACATCTGCTGTAGCCTCAAGTCCAGCAGCGCCTCCGCTCTGCTGTGTAGCCTGAAGCTGTCTTTGAGTCGCAAGCCATTGTTGATACAATGTCAATTCGTCGCCTTCCAGCGCATGGCGTTGGGCCTCGCGGATCTCCAACTCCCGTCCACCAGCATAAACAAACTCGAGATTCTCTCCATTTGCGTTTTGTTCCACCGAGACACCATCCTTGCGCTCCTTCCACCAATCCCATAGTGTTCGTGCAATAGATGGCTTGTCTGTCTTTGATAGGCCCGGCTTATCTGTTAGGATGACCAAGTTTCGCGAGTCTCGTGCCAACCCCTTGATCAAATCCTTTGAGAAACCCCACTCGATACTGCTATCACTGGCCAGAATAACACGGCCTTCTGTCGATACGTTGTCGGGGTTCTGACTTAGAAGTCGTGCGATCTGGGCCTTGCGCTCGAGGAGTCGTAGATATTTAAAGTCGAATGGTCCACCTTCCTTCTTGTCGTTCGCGCCGTTGACCTTTCGTTGGCCCTCGGCAAAGGCCTCGAACTCTTGAACGATGCTATCGTCCATCCACTCGAGCATACTTCGGGCGTATCGCATTGTGCTTGACATATTGCGTCCAGCCAAGTATAGCTTGGCTGTCTTGAGGACGCCTTCGTCGGAAGCAGCATCGGTCCTCCAGGCATGTTCCAGGAGATACGAGAGTTCTAGGACTCGAGCACTTGAATCCACAGGGATAAGAACAGTTCCTCCTCGTGCCACGCAAGCCTTGATAGTGTCGACCAGCTGCTCGTCTCGCTTTGCGCGACCTCCAGTCTGGGCAGTTCGGTCTGCACCACGACTACTGCAGATCAGTGCAGTTGGTTTCCGTAGTTGCTCAATGACCTCAGCGCCACCGCCTCCAGCACCTCCCAGCCAAGCTGCTCCAGCAAAGACATTCTCACGTGCCTGGTTCCAGTCCACAGCATACACAATCGATTCTAGGCCATGCTGAATGTGCCATATCGTACCTCCGAGGGTATGTCCAGAGTTGTAGGCGGTGATAGTCAAGCCATTGAGAGGCGGCGAGAATGGGGAGGGGAGGGGTTGATGTGGTTGTGAGTATTTCAGCGGTTGGATCAGGGAGAAGTATCGTGCAATCTCCTCGTTCGTGGGAGATTGTAGTAGTAAGTTCTGCGCAGTCGTCGCAGTCTGTGTGAGCGAGTATGCGCTCTCGGTTAGCGAACTCTGAGGGATCGTTGTCGCCGCGGCTGGACTCGATGTGTAGAGGTCTTGGATGAGGGTGCGACCAAGGTCAATGACTGGTCGTGTCGCATAAACGGGGATGCGCGTGAACTGTGGAATGTTCTTGCAGCAATGGGCGTAGGCAGCAAGATGCGAAGCCGTCGCATGTGTAACGAGGATGAGCGAGAGAGTTGTTACTTGTCTATAGCGCATGATTGTCAGCCATCATCGTCACTATCAGATCAGATGCGCAGGGGGGGGGGCATGGCATACTTCTCTATCTCTTTGAGCTTTTCAACGTCAAAGGTCTCGTCCCATCCTAGATCTACCAGCACCTTGACTCCTCCGTCGAGCTCGAGGAGCGATTGTGAAGCAGGCGAGTCTGAAAGGGCGCCCTGGAGCGGGCAAAAGGTGAACATGATGGTATCGGCGCAACCGTGATCAAAGAAAGGATCAAGTCAAATCGAGATGAATCAAAGTTTGGAGTAGAGTTGCTATATGGATTGTAACGGCATGGCTGTTGTGAAATCAATCTTTGAGTCGAGATGGGAGTTTTGCAGCTATTGAATTGTCATTTCATTGTCCTCTATTGATGCGGACAAAGACAATCAATCAGTCGTCGCGAAGCTTGATTATTCTGCCCATTGATGCGCGTATGGTAGCGCAGCGTAGCACTTGCAGCAGCGCTGTCAAATGGGGACTCGGGTCGGCTAAACTATAGTCCGACTTACACGCGACATGCTACTGATTACGTGCATCCAGGGCATCCACTGATGAAATAAACTATTTTAAGGTATAATACAATGGCTTCTTGGACTAACTCAAATGCGACTACAATGAATCTCCAGATCTTTATTAAACAGTCAAGCATGTGAGCATGCCAAGACAGACAGACAGACCATGCACGATATTAGGAACTGTCTTGCAGTGACAAGCCAGCCAATACGAATAGCTTCACAATCAACATTACAACGAAAGGCTCAATACGAGCAGACCAATCTCGCGAGACCAATTCGAGCCAATTTAAAAGACATCTCCCTCGTCCATAAATAGCATTGTCAACTATCGTCGATAGCTTCATCCTCTCGCCACCCCTCTAGGCCTCTAAATTGCCGCCTATTTCCATCGCACCCCTACAGCGATTATACGCAAACCCCAATTCTAGGCTCCGAGATAAAATTAAGGATTATCTGGAACCATCCGAGACCCTCTGTTATTTAGCAGCATCATTTCCCTCTTTTCCCCAGTTTCTCCCTTACGCGTTCTTTACGATCTGTACCACACCCTGTCCGGCATCTCGGCATCGTCAGGATGACGCGGCCCTGCACTACGCGCCGCCAAATAGCTAAAGACACGGATAAACGGGAATGCAGACACTATCCTCCAACTGACAACAACCTTAAATCTACTGTAAATTTTACCTCATCGTGCCGTTGTGCCGCCCCTGACTTACACTAAACGCGTACGTACAACCCGCTTCGTCAGCCGGTCTGATATTACACCCTGGGACGAAACGTCACTCAAACATACAGAGACACGATGAATTAGGTGGAATGGTGATGATGGTCAAGTTTGGCCAATTTGCTCCTGATATTGTTCAGTAACTATGTACATGATTTGGTATTGCAATGGCACTTAAACACCACTCAACCATGGTTCTGCCTTGTATGACCCCTTAAACACCATTCCGTTCATACCTCTTCCCTTCCGTGTCGTAAAAAAGCACGCTGAATGATCGCAGTCAACCCCCTTTGGTTGCTGCCCCGTAAAAAATGAAGACGCCGTGACAATGCATATGATGGATAAACACAACCCCTTAGCATGATAGCCTCTAACTAGGCTGGTTTTTGGCCTCCAATCCTCTCTAACGTCCCTGAAAACGGCTTCCTCGCGTTTTTAAATGCAAAATTTGCGGTCCAGCATTCTTAAGGCTCTTGCGTCCTCACTGACACCGCCCTTCTCCAGACCACAGGCACCAGCCGATCTAGGACTGCTGCTGGCGCTGCCAGGCTTGACGCTACCGCTTTCACTAGGTGCGGGAGTAGGGTGCAGAAGCGCTGAGAGACTGGCCTTGTTAGATGTGTTGGCAGGCGCTTCGGAATGAGAGCTGCGTGGAGGGCTGACGCTCATAGTGCGGCTAGGGGGGGTGCTGATGGCAGCGAGAGACGAGCCTGGGGGGCCATTGGTAACAGCACCAAGACCTGGGAGCGCAACCTGATGGGTACGAGAAGATCCATTCACCATGGAGGCTGGAGCAGCTGCCTGCAGATGATGCTCTCGAGGCGAGTCGTGGGCTCTAGGGAGAGTAGGGTGTGAGTAGTGAGGAGATGTTGATTGGTAGGTGGGCTTGGCAGGGAGAGGAGGGAGAGGAGCACGATGCTCATAAACAGGTGCCTGATGGTAATGTGGGTGAGGAAGACCTGGGTGGCCGGGGTGAGGTGGAAGTTGCTGAGGAACACCGTGGGGGTAGGGAGCAGCGTAATGGCTATACGGAGGAGTAGCGACGGGAGAAGGAGGCCATCCATAGCCAGGCTGGCCATAGGGAGCATATGGTTGTTGACCGGGCTGAGGAACCATGTAGGGAGGCTGCTGCATCGGCGCCCGTGTTAGAGCTGGTGTAGTGTTGGCCTCTCCCATGCTGGACTCAGGATACATGCCCTTAACAGGGACTATGCCGCGCAAGTTAGGATCATTTGTTGGTTGTTGAAGCTCAGGCTGGCCAGGTTGAGGGCGAGAATAGTATGAGATAAGGTGAAGATGCTGGCCGGTTGAAGTAGTGATGCTGAAAGATTGCTTCATCAGGCCGTCCGCCTTGTATCGGTATCCCTCGGGCTCCCCGTCATCTAGGTCCTCGTCGCTACCGCGTCCAGAGTCTGGGGTTTTTCCACCACCTCGTCGGGTAGTGTTGAAGCCACCACCTCGCTTGCCCTCCATCTCACGGTATGTCAGGAAGCTTCCCGACACTCGACTGGCGCTCCATGACTTTCCATCAGTCCATCTCCTCATACCAGCTTCCCGCTCATCCCAAACAAAAACCGAACCAGATCGAATTGACTGTCTCTCCTTCTCTGAAAGTCGTCGTTGCACACGGGGCAGAATGCCTAATCGGCAAGCCTCGAATAATCTGATAGCATCGGCGGGTGTCCGCACATATCCGTGGTACGTTTCCATTGTGAAGGTGTGTAACTTGATGTGATGTTATGTTATGTGAAAGAGATATTCCGCACAAGGGCGGGAGGCTGGAAGGAGTTTTTGAGGGTAATGGATCCGGATCCAGTGTCCTGGGTAGGTTCTCAGCGACTTTATAAATAAGGGCCTTGTGAGAACCAAGCTCTGGCTTGTTTGTACGCGGCACCCCACTAGATCAGATCGAGCCAGGGCGTGGGCGTGTGAAAGCCGAATGTGCGAAGGTGACTCCACAAGGGCTGAGGGTTGAGCGGAATTTTGTCCACGTATCCACCTGTGGAAGTGGGCGGGCTCGTCCTTCGCTCTCTTGGCGTTCCTGAGAGCGTTGGGGCTTATGAAAGTGTTTGTTTGATCTTGGTAAGGTTACAAGGCTAAGTAGATTTGTTAGTCTTGTGCCTGTAATGTATATGCGTGAAGCAGTAGATAGATGATGTCTGAGGGCAGGTTTGAAATATCTTGGTACAGTAGTAGAGCGCATGTGAAGAGAGGAAAGGTGCAAGGGGAGAGAACCAAGATATGAGTTGCACACCGGTGATCATATATAATCCCCAAAACAAGGTCGTAAGGGAAACCACAACACAACGGTACTGTGACACACTCCAAGCCCACATCCCAGGGGTTTGAGGCTCGACTCCCTGGCGGGAGTGCCGTCGGAGCCGATTAAGTGGATGATCCACTCGACTAAAATTTCCCTTAGATTGAGTATTTGCCGCTTGGCGATGTGCATCATGAACTCGTCGGATGTAGGAAGATGGACCAAGCAATCTCACAGCTGCTTGACTTGACTCAACTCGAGCCAAGACCCAACTTGCGAAGCAAGTACACGCGCACAAAAGTCGATTGCGGCTCTCAGGCGCCCCAGAGAAACCCGGTTTAGTGAACACAACGGTCCCACGAGTGCTTCCAGGACACTTGATCCATGCACCAAACCGCCTCACCTAGGAGGTATTGCGCCGGATGCACCGAGTACCAGACATAGGCATAGGAAAAAGATACAGGATCTGAGACGGAGGCAAACATACCTATCAAGGAGTCTGTAGTTGCTCGAGAGCCACGGCTTGCTGCGTTTGTCGTCGAGTTGGTGAAACCGATGATTTGCTACAAGAAGCGAGCGAGCATGTAATGTTGGAGTGGAATGTCAAGTCAAGATTAGAGAGATGTTATTCCTCTTGTTCAGAAACAGGTCAGCAGGGTCTAATGAACCGTGTCCTCGGACAAGACGGGAAGACAGGGAGGGGCCAAGAGCAAGATAAGGTTGCAAAGGCAAGTCAGAAAAGGGAATCAGAGGCCTGGAGGCGTAAAGTCGGTGGTGGATAACTCGGCGACGACATGGCCGGGAGTGTGGAGAAGAACGGAGGACGGCAAAGAAGGAGGGTGTGCAGATAGAGAGAGAGAGGCACTGCCTAGGGGTGAGACTGAGATTGAGAGCGTCTAAGACTCGTCTAAGCTTAGGTTGGTCAGGACAAGCTTTTGAAGCTGACCCACCATCAAGGGGGCTTTAGGGAAAGGAAAGATGACGATGCAGGGCCAGGGCAGGGTCGGGTCCAGAAAGGGCATGATAGGCGTAAGAAGGAGCAAAATGCATGACAGATCACGGCTATCGGATCAGTAGTTGGGAGGTTGTAGCATGAGGTGGGGATAAGGAATGAGGTATGTATTCGTGGAGGAACTTGCAGCCACTGTGTTATTTGCAGGTTCATCATACAAGAAATGGAATGCAGTGCTTGTTCTGCGTAGAATTCAGAAGCTTACCCGTATGATACAGTCCGTCACACGCTGGCGTTGATAGTGCTCAGGATAGCAAAGAGTCTGGAACCTCGAAGGACTAGCTGAATCTACCAGTAGCGGGAGATATAGTCGTGGGGGAGGCGTTCCCAGGCGATTCTAATGTGCGTCGGCGACGTTTCGGTGCGCCCGTCTGACCAGCTTGATTGTTTCGCTGTTTCTGACTGTCCAAGGCATCGCGATACGGGCGGGGACATACATACCTACCTAGGTAAGTTAGGTAAGGTACGGAGTATAATTAGAGCGGAACCCTTTGCCATATATCCGAGTAGGCGCAGGTGAGGTCTTTCCGTTATCGATACGAGACGGAGCGTTAGGGTTTCAAACTATCGAGAAGCGAGTCGAGGGAAGGTGCAAGGGAAACGCAATCACTCGGATAGACGGCTCGAGATGAGGAATTATATACTCCTATTGCTCCGTATTACTACCTATGCGTGAACAATCTACGCTGGCAAGGTTGAGGAGTCCTTTCGTTGGTAGGAGGGGAGAAGAGAAGCTTGCTTTAGAGCGTCTAGCGAATGATATAGTCGAGGCGGAAACTTTGTTCAACATTTAAATTAAACCCATTGGAAAGATAAAGTCTCGTGAGATCAATGCCGAAGATGTTGAGTCAAGCAAGGTAAGGTTACAACGAATGAGTAGGCCTGTCTCGGTGCTGGCTTGCATGTACTGGTAGTTGTAAATGTATTTTAAGATATAAAAAAAAGTCTCATAGAGGCCAATGCCAAGCACCACTAAGAATAACCATAAATACTACTATAATCATTCCTTGCGTCAACCAACAATAACTCGACCAGAATGCAAATATCGTCATGCCAATGCTGCAGTGCAATGCAATGCTCGGTCAGTGGCACTCTTTGTTAACCGTCCAAGCCAAATAAAATACAGCAGTCACAGACAGACGTGACGGTTCCGGCTCCCAACACCGCGGATCCTCTCAAAGCCACATAAGTACCCTTATTTGCATGCGGCAATGCGGCAATGCGGCAAACAGTAAGCATATCAGGAAGCCAATTATCCCTCCAGAGCTTATTTCGAGCTGTGCTTGGCTCTGTCTGGCTGAGATCCCCAATGCGAGGCTTCTCTTGGCCCCATTACCTCAGCAGGTGACGGGGGCTAGAACCCATCAAAAGGCTGAATTAGGCCGCTCCTGGAAAGCCCCGTGCAGGGATTGCAAAGCCACTGAAGCTTGGCTGCTGATCCTCTTGGCTGCCTGGACGTGAATGGGTGAATTTTCTACGAGCGGTCGTTGTGTGTGTGTATCAGATACATTTTCACCGCTCTATCAGATTTCCTTGGCTATCAAAAACAAGCCCATCATGTGGTATAAAATAAAAGACGGTCGGTCACGACACGGGATTCTCGGCTTGTGGGAGAAGCAGTAACATCGTCCAACGTACGTCCTTCTACCGCACAAAGCGCAGGATATGGCCGGATGGGTCTCGTCTAGAAATAGTTCAGGAGGAGGCCATGCTCCTAAGCGAGGCCTCGGTGCTTATCAGGATTATGATGAGCGGTTCTTGGCTCGCGATAAAATTGGCAAGACATTTTTGTTGCTTACGGAATATGCCTCCTCAAAAAAAAAAGAAAAGAAAAGAAAAGATTATATAAATGACATAAGACCAAAAAAAGATAAAAAGGTATTTCCCGTTCTATGTTGCAGTATTATTGTTGCATTTTTGAGCCTTATTTGGGTTTCGTCAGCCCTTGGCGGATGATGCGGCTTTAGAACACTCCAAATTTCAGGCTTGGCACCAAGTGCCGTGGCCCGAGTCTAGGGGTTGTCGGGAACAGCCTCGGACTTGTCGTGCTCTTTGATCATCTGGGGTTTTTTCCCGCCTCTAAAGGAGTTGGGTTGGGTTGGGTTACAGCACAAATTACGATTGTCCAAGAAGCCGAGCTTCAAAGCGCCTTGGCTCGCACGAGACATTCAGGTTTTGATACTCCATGGCATTGCACAGACTCAAGTCCTGGTGGACCAGACAAGACTTCATTTCCCTGTGCAAGTGCCAAGATCGATCAGTTATTCCTCAAAAGTTCCCGGTGTCAGAGACTGAGAGAGTCATGTACTTTGTCGTCTTATAGCCCACTTGGTCTCCTCTGATCAACTATCAGGGATATTGGTGCTGTAAAAAAAAAAAAAAAAAGTTCCTCGCAGGTTGATTGCCTACCCAGCTGAGACAATCTCGAATTGTTTGCTGTCGCTCAAGAGCCGTTTCCTGTAACCTCGATGTAACCTCTGCTGGTTGTGTTTCACGTAAACTTGACGATGTGATGATCTACGCCCGTGCAATACGGTACATACATAATTCCCTGAGCGGGATGGTAGAGTGTCATTGCGCTCGCATGTGTACGGTATCTACCAGGAGACCCTATCATGCCAGTTGATGTTGGCTCATTCGAAACAACGCTCGTAAGCACTCAATCCCACGCATTCAGCCTCCTCAGCCACCCCAATAATAGGTTCATTTGGTATAATAGTCAGCAACATCGTCATAGCCGTTGTTCAGTTATGGAAATCCATTCGAAACAAACAGAAACGAGCATTTCTAAACAACTTCCTCTTCTGATAGGACAACAACAAACAACAAAACAAGCAAGATTATCACCACCCTTCGGCACGCACGGCTCAAGTGATGGGCGTCTGCCGCCTGTAAATAAAGTTTTCCTCAGCAGTTGATGACGAGATGACGTCTGCCAGGCACCACAACATGTTCAAGTTTAGGGTCCAACTGATGGAGATCTTCAAGGTAAGCTTAAGCCTTTGAGAATCTCCGAAGGACCCACGAAGTTGCCTCATTTGGGGGCCCTTTGTCTGCCTCTGCCTCTCCCAGCGCAAGGCTTGTCGATCATGTCCATGTCAGGTAACGGTCATAGAGCGGCTTTTGTCATGCATTCCCACTCAAAATCCTTTTGCCGTGATACACGCACTTCCGCGGGTGTCGTATCGTACACTGAAATAATGCAACCACAGGTAACGGTAACCGCCGTGACTGACTGACTGACTTATGGGGATTTAAAATGAAATAAAATGGGGAGTGCTCGGGAGAAGTTCTTCTTGTTGTTCTCGCTTTTACCGCCGAGCTTGGACTTGTAGCAGAAAGGAAGGTATTCGCTTGTGCATCAATGCGTGTATCAGGCATAACCTCGTTGACTGCTTGTTTCCAACAAGCGCCAGACCCTGATCCGTGTGTCTTCTT